GGGCTTGCTGCTATAACCAGCCTGAGAGAGGCTGGCATGGGACCCCTGGGACGCCTAGCACCCTGCAGGGGACTCCTTAGGGACACTGGGAAGGATGGCCAAGGGATGGGAAATAGGCTGATCAAAACAGTGGCAAGATCTGTCTGCAAGGCTGAAATAACTCTTTCCTCTGGTTATGTTTTTCGACCCCACCTTGAAGTTTTCAGCACAGTTCAGCATGTTCCAGACCATCAAAGACCAGCTGGAGCAGCGGACGCGGATCCTGCAGGCCAACATCCGGTGGCAGCAGGAAGAACTCCACAAGATCCAGGAGCAGCTCTGCCTGGTCCAGGACTCCAATGTCCAGGTGACGCCCTTCCCAGGCTGGCCTCTGTCCTCCCCGCTGCTCTGGCCTGGGTCCTTAGCCACCATCTCAGGGAGGCGGGACTCCCTCCAAAGCCCCATATGCTTATGAAGCACAGGGAAACTTCCACCGACAGAGTGCAAGGAGTGAACCCACCTCCTCATCCCCACCTCCAAGCCAGACAGGACATTCCCATTTTGTCCTATTCCGTTGCTCCTCGCCCTGGTGGGCACATGCTGTCTGCTGCCACACCTGCATTTTCATTCCTGCATTTGGCATTTGGTCGCACTGCAGAGACACCCGCCTCGGTCCTGGGTGCTGCTGGCACCTGTAGAACTTGGCTTTCCCAGCACCCAGCCCGGGCTGCGGCAGAGGGAGGTGGGAGCAGCTCTGCTGTCTGTCTCTCTGCCGTGCATGAGAAGGGGAAGGATAGGAAGGATGGTATCTGTGCTGCAGCCTGAGCGGCACAGCCATGGGAGCTCAGGGCTGGCACCTCCATGCCACTGCACTGGTGGCCAGCCAGTGGGGACTCTCATGCCCTGACCATAGCAGCCACTCTCACTGTGACCCCCAGATGTGGCTTCTCGGAATACTTTTGAGGGTGTTTTTTTGTTTGTTTGTTTGTTTGTTTTTTTGGAGAAAACACTTTATATGTTTTACCAAGTTGTACTTATATCAGTCCAAGAATGTTTGTCTTCACAAGTGCATGATACCCAGCCTTTCATTGCAAATGCAATTCTAGCTAGCCCTGGAGTCTGCCCTGGGAGCACTAAGCATTAGTAGAGACGGGGGGAGCAAAAGAGACACCTCGGGAAAGTGGCCAGAGCATTGTCCCTGCCACTGCCCCGCCCCCACTGTCCACACAGTCCCTTCCCTGGCCACACAGCTCCTGAAGCACAGTCTCACCTACAACAGGCAGGCTCTGTTGGGGTGCAGTGACATGAGCCAGTGTGCACTGAGATTGGTGCCGGATGGTGGCGTTTTGTTGGGCAGTGGGAGGTGCCTGGACCTGGCCATTCTGCCTCCCTGGGTCCCAGCAGCTCTGCCCGGCCCCTCAGGGGTGCTCCTTGTGGGCTTTCCAGATGCTTACAGCCCCTCCCCTCCCTGCACTGTGCAGGCTTCATTCAGGCGGCCTGGGCCAGCACCCCGCTGCTCTTCCCCACCTCCTCAGTGACACCCCTATCCTAGGAGGGAGCAGACTGCAGCGTTGACGTGAAAAGAAACGGAGCCCTCAGAGTGTCAAGTAGGAGGCCACCCTTACTTACTCTTTCCCAACAGTAATGTTTTGCTCACTTATCCGGGGCCTGATGTTTGAGCCCAGAACTTGCCTGACTCCAGTTACTTTAGTGGAATTTTTATACTAACAGGAAGGGGGAAATTAAGCCAGAAAGTGCTATAAGCGAGGTAGCATATGAACGCCCTCCTCAGTGCCTGGACTCCCCCATTTCCTGCCTTTTCAGTACGAAAGCTGAATTGTAACATAACGGGTGACAAGGTTATTGCTTTCACTCCCCGTTATAAAGAAAGATCAATTTTCCTCCCCATGACCGATGCATTTTGTTAACCCCCAAATGACATGTGCCACAGAGCACTTGAGTTCCGCAGGGGGTGGTGTGGCACTCAAGCCCTCCAGCGTGTTCGTTCCCTGTGTTCATTCCTGTAACCTTATCTTTGCAGTGGAATTTTCCAAAGAACATGAAAATCCAGAGTCAAGCCAGGGAACCTTTCCTTAAGCAGTCTGCCTTTTTCGTTTTTTGCAAGACAAAGAAATACATTCTGAAATGCTTAACCAAAATGTGATGTTTGTTTAAGAAGAAAAAAACCTGTTTGACCCACGTGTGAAGAATAAGCACGTAAAACTTACTCCAGCCCCACCCCCACCCCCAAAAGTGGGGGGAAGAGATAAAATAAGAGTGGCAAAGTGCTGATAATGGTTAAAGCCTAACGATGAAACGTGGGGTTCCGTTATACTTTTTCTCTATTTCATGTCCTATAATGACAGGCGCTTGTAAAATCGAGCAGAGAATAATAATGAAAAATCACATGTGAGTGTAGCATTACTTTCTTCTTGAAAATTAGAAATTTTTTCTTCCTCTAATAACTTTTCCTACTTGAATTGGGCAACTATTTTTTTGCATGTTTTCTATAAAATTGACCCCAGAGCCCTTTCAAGAAGTCATCTCCCTAAGCCATAAAATTCTACTTTATTGTTGATAAAACGAGGCACGGATGTGCACGGCAGCAAACCAGGAGTCCCCACCCACGGGCCTTTGTCCCACTTCAGTGGATTTTCCCTACTTTGTTTACTTCATTGGTTTGGGACTTTCGGTGAGGCTCTGTGTACTTGTGATGCTTGCTAAGTGTGATTTTGTTTTTTTAAAGGTTGTGTTATGAGGCAGAGGTCCTCTAGGCTGTTGGTGTTTACACCTAGATGGGGTCATGAAGGCACTACATGGGCGAGAGCTGTTCTGCTGAAAGGCCCAAGGCTGCCTCTTGCTCTCTTTTTGAGACCATGCGTGCCCTCTGCTGGCTACCCAAAGGAATGCCTACAAGGATACCTGTGGCAATGTCAAATCCACGTTTCTTGATTCTTTCATCCCTCCATCCATCCATCCATGCATCCACCCACCCATCCTTCCATCCATCCATCCACCCATTCATCTGTCTATCCGTCCAACCACCCATTCTTCCATCCACCCATCCTCCATCCATTCATCTATCCATCCATCCATCCACCCACCCATCCTCCATCCATTCATCTATCCATCCATCCATCCACCCACCCATCCTTCTGTTCATCCATGCACTCACTCATCCATCCATCTATCTGTGCATCCACTCACCCATCCTTCCATTCATCTATCCATCCACCCACCCACCCTTCCATCCATCCATGCTTCCACCCACCCATCCTTCCATCCATCCATGCTTCCATCCACCCACCCTTCCATCCATCCATCCTTCCATCCATCTGTGCTTCCACCCACCCATCCTTCCTTCCATCCTTGCATCCACCCACCCATCCTTCCATCCATCCATGCTTCCATCCACCCACCCTTCCATCCATCCATCCTTCCATCCATCTGTGCTTCCACCCACCCACCCTTCCATCCACCAACCCTTCCATCCATCTGTGCTTCCACCCACCCATCCTTCCTTCCATCCTTGCATCCACCCACCCATCCTTCCATCCATCCTTCCACCCACCCATCTTTCCATCCATCTATGCATCCACCCACCCACCCTTCCATCCACCCACCCTTCCATCCACCCACCCTTCCATCCACCCACCCTTCCATCCACCCACCCTTCCATCCACCCACCCTTCCATCCACCCACCCTTCCATCCATCTGTGCTTCCACCCACCCATCCTTCCTTCCATCCTTGCATCCACCCACCCATCCTTCCATCCATCCTTCCACCCACCCATCTTTCCATCCATCTATGCATCCACCCACCCACCCTTCCATCCTTCCATCCTTCCATCCATCCTTCTATCCATCCATACATCCATGCATCCATCTACTAAAAAGAGCAATGCTTTCCCTTGTTTTTAATTTATGTTCAGTTAGTTTATAAATTTAACAAATTGTGAACAATCAACATTATCTACCAAAGCCATTAACTTACAAATTTAATATATCTGAAACTTTCACATATTGCACATATCTAACAGGGCAGACTTATAAACCTAAGAAGAAAGACTGTTTTAAATCAAATACACCAACTTATGTGAAGTAAATCAGGATTCTTATAAACACTTAAGCACTCTTTACAAACTTCATCAAATGGTCTTGAACCTTTCGAATTAAAACCACCAGGCTGATATATCACAGTCTCTTAAATGTCTGAGCCATCTTAGATACCAAAACACATAGAGATTGTCGTGGTGGTTGTAAAACATAAACATAACTCTAAAGCACATGGACTTAATGTTATGGCATCGTCTCTCTGCTTATTGCCTGCCTGGGAATGAAGCGTCCCTACTTAATGGAGCAGATTTGCCATCTCAGCTGAGAGTACTGGGTTGCAGATTCCCAACAGCAGTGTGGGTTCACACCCTGGTCACTGGTCAGAGATTCAAGGCCAGGCACTGCCAGGGTGATGTGGCCCACACCGCAGGTTAGCCAACCCTCTGCCACCATTACAGCACATTCGTTCCATTCACAAGATGTTTTTCCCTTCTAATAAGAAACTGACAAACCAACCTAGACTTTAAACAAGTACATCAAATTATTTATAGAACATTTGGGTCCATGCTGCTTGGACACTATTAGACCTCATTCCCTAGTCAAACCTTCATGAAAGCAGGGACAATGTCTCTCCATCCACCACTCCGTGTCCAGTGCCTTGTGCTGTGCTTGGGGCATCACAGGCACTCGGTGTCTACCAGCTGAGGAGGTAAACTATTTCCAGGCAGGTGGGAGAGGGCAATAAAGCTGGCCTCTTACTGTGGACAAGGAGTACAAAGAAGGTGCACACCTGCGAGGGCACATGTGAGCCGAGCCTTACATGCACTTCTGTTCTGCTCCCAGATGTTTCTGCAGCAGCCAGCTGTATCTCTGAGCTTCAGCAGCACCCAGCGGCCCGAGGCACCTCAGCAGCTACAGCAAAGGTCAGCCACGACGTCCCAGCCCCAGCTTGTGGCGAGCGCTCAACTTCCAGGGCAGGTCACAAACCAGCACCTGCTCAGAGAATCAAGCGTGATATCAACCCAGGTAAGCATGCCCCTCTCCACACTTCTCCATCCCTGCCACCAGAGCAGACACTCCTGCAGTCCAGGACGTACCTGATTCCCACAGCCTATGTGAACTGGAAACTCTATGGACTGGAGGTAGATTATGGTAGAGATCCTTATTTTTTTCTTTTCCTTTTTTAAAGTCACTTTGAAGCCCCAAGTTGCATTAGCCTCCTTCTACGTTGTATTAATGTCCACTTCCAACCCTTGCTCTTGCCTTTAAAGATACCATGCAGCTGGGATGTTCAGCTTTGATGCTGAGTTAGGGTAGGAGGTAGATGAGGACATCCCAGACACTCACACTGGCAGCCATATGTCCCTACACGTCTGTCCTCAGTCCCCACCGTCTATTCCTGTTTTTAGCCATTATCCATGTGCACAGCCAGTCTGTTCATTGACCCTTCCCTAGGACCACCATGCTCCTCCAGGTCCCTCGGACTCCCTGCCAGACCCTCCCCTTGCAGCCATTTCCACTGACGACAAGCCAGTGACCAGATACCTCACCATCCAGTAGGGTCACCAGTGGATAAATGGCACCTGAATTTAATGGAATCAAGAGTCCCAAGCCCCTGCTTCTGGAAGGTCACAGATCGGGAGGCAGACTTTCCCCAAGCCTCTCACATTCACACACTTTTGTGGCTTCAGTAAATGTTCGCTGAGCTCCTGTTATTCACTGAGCCGCAGGGAAGCAAAGAACGAGAATTGTCCTTGCCCTTGAGCTTCCGGTCTAGTGGGAACCTGGGAACTGAAACAGAGAATGTACAGCACGATGTGGTTAAGAACATGGATAGGAGAGTTTAGTCCATCTTTATCCAAATGTAAGGTTTTGATTGGAAATACAGCCCTTTGATTCAAAAGGTGATCAGAAAGACAAATGGGTAGGAATAGCCAAGAAAATTCTGGAAAAGAAAACCTGAGGAAGGATTTACGCTATCTGATACTGAAAGGTTTTCTAACAGCTCTAAGAATGAAAGGACTGTGGTGCCACCGCATGAAGGGACAGCGAAAACACAGCAGAAACCCAAGAAACCCAAGCCCCGCCCTCATCCATTGATTATTTCACTCAGCAAATATTTATTGAGTATTCACTGCATGCCAGGCACAAAATTCTAAGCACTGAGGGAGGCAGTGAACAAAAGAGGAAAGAGAAAAACGAATCTCCCATCCAAGTGGGGCGAGGGAAACAAACAGGTGAAAACTACAGTAGGTGACTGGCACCGCAGGGCCGCCAGCGAGGGTGGGAAAGGGCTGGAGTGTTAAATAGGCGGCCAGGAAAGACCTCCCTGAGAAGACAGTATTTGAGCAAAGACCTGAGGGGGGTGAGAAAATGAGCCCTGTTGACATCGGGGAAGCGCATGCCACACAGAGGATCTGCAAGTGCCAAGGTCCTGGGGCAGGGGCCAGCCGGTGAGCTGGAGCAGCAGCAGGGAGGTGCATGTGTGTTGCTTGCCTGCTGAGAGGCTGGCACTGTCCTGCGCCTGTGAGATACAACTACGATCCAATGGGGAAGACAGTCACAAGATCAAAACACTTCAGTACACAGTTGGTGGGTCCCTTATTAGAGGAAAGGCCAGGTGGGTAGAAGAAGGAGGCTCTGGGGAGGTTTCCTGGAGAGAGGACACCTGAGTCGAGTCAAAGTTTCACTTTTCTCGTCAAAATGATGCTCCAGGGTCCGAAGCCGATGAGAAGCTCGCAGCTGCTGCAGGGGGGCAGCCGCTCAGTGAGCAGCTTGACGTCCCAGTTCAGCAGCGCCACGGCTGTGCTTCCGCCAGGTCTGACACCTGCTCCCGCCTCCCAGGATGCCAGCCAGTGCCAGCCCAGCCCGGACTTCAGCCATGATCGGCAGCTCCGGTACGGAGACTGTCCCTGCTCAAAGGATAGCCGAGGGGCAGTTTTACACCTGTGGCTTTGGCTCTCCTTTCTGCTGTAGGTGAAGGTGGGGTTCAGACAGACTCTAAAGCATCTGCAGTGGATCTCAGCTAAGGGTGCAGCAGGAAAGGGCTTGGGGTCCTGACAGCCAGGGGTGCATTCATTGTCCTCTGAGAATGGAGTGGGGGGAGTGGATAGTAGAGGCAGCTGTAAAGGACCAGGCTGGGTATGTGCTGCCACCACAGCGGGTCTACAGTTTGGGTGCTGATCAGAGTTTCCTGTTCTCTCCTCCTATGCTCCAAGGTTACTGCTGAGTCAGCCCATCCAGCCCATGATGCCGGGGTCCTGTGACGGGAGGCAGCCCTCGGAGGTCGGCAGGACTGGACGGCCGGTCAAGTATGTGCCCCTGGGGAGAAGAAGGGGGCAGAGTGCTGCACTGAAGGCCCCAGGCCAGCCGGTCTCATCCTCTGGGCCGGCAGCGCCCACTGAGAGTCTTGCACTCCAGGCAGACTCAAGGTGTGCCCACAGCCTTTGAGGGGCTCTCCTCTTAGCTTTTTTTCCACCGGCTCCCATTTAAGCAGATGAAACTTTGTGCCAGCACTCCATGCTTAGAGCAGGACCCAGATGAAACAATTATACCCCACCACCACCACCCTGCCATTTGCTGTCATCTTCAGACTTCTTTACACGCCTTAAAAGCCTCCACCCTTGGTGACATACTGGTAAATGTAGCCTTATGCCCTTCCAGAGCCCCCCTGGCTCCCGCTGCCCATGCCACGCACCCTTGAGCTGCCTGCTCCGTGTTCCAGGCACTGTGCCTCAGGCCCAAGACCCTGTGACCATGGGCCCTTCCCTCCCAGACACAGCCCCCTCTCCGCCTTGCCCCTCCTGCTCCACTTGTACCCCCAGGCCCAGAAGCAGCTTTGCTCAGCTGCTAATTGCTAGAGACAAAAGTTACTGGAGGCATAAGGGTGAGTCATTTCAGAGCTGTTGGAAAATAGCATCCAGCCCTTTGAGATGAGGCAGAAGTAGAACTCTCGCACAATGTCTTCTTTGGATAAACACTAGCTCAATTTGTGTCTGAAGCTCACCAGGACAGTGCTGGCTAATTAGGCCTGCTGTGCCCTCACGTACAGGCCTCGCAGGCATCCCGCTGGGGCCACCCCCCTGGAAGTCCTCCCTCCTGTGTCCTCCTGCAACCAGTACTAGTAGTGACCGAAGATGGTAACTGAGCATTTCTGAGGATCAGGGGCCTGTATGTACGTTATTTCATTTTATCCTGATAAAAACTCTGTGATATATAGGGATGCTCCCTTTTTGTTTTAATCAGTGAAGAGACTGAGCATTAAAAGGTTACATTCTCAAAGACCCACACACTGTACGTGCTGGAGCTGGAGTCGTCTGACTCTAGGACACAGGTTCCCTTTGCCTTGCTGAATCTTTGGAGACCACCTTGTTGGCTCTGTCCAGGGTCTCCCCACAGCCTCTGGACAGCCCCTGAGACTTCCTGGCATTCTCTTTGGTCACGGGAGGGTGAGGGGGGCACACACGTTGCAGGAAATCATCTTTAAAGTTCTCTGTTCATGCTCTTAGTTGGGGGTGAGGGGTTGGGTTTTGGTTTAGATTTTGCCTGTTCTTCCTAAATGATCAAAATAAGTGGAAACAAAAATTCTCGTTATATAACTTTTTAGAGATGCTTAAAATGCAGTGAACTGGGCAAGAATGGAAATTCTTTCCTCTGGGAAATCTAATTGCCATTTTCAGTCAAACCAATAATTTATACCCTCCCCATCTCTCCTCCTGTCTTTTCCAGATGTACCCTAAAAGCTCCGTCCTCCAGGGTGTGTCAGGATCTTCCTCCCACACACACACAGACCTCTTCGGGGGAAGTTTGGAATCCCCAATGCCAATTGCAGATGACCCCACGCAGGGAAATAACACCTCTAGAAAAAATAATGCAGTGTGGACTTCTCTAAATGTCCATTGCTAATCAGTAATCTTCCAGACCTTTCCTAAATGGACTTTTTCCACTCCTTGTTAGTGGACCATTATCATCAACACCTCTTTTTAAAAAAATAATAATGTATTTGTCATAAAATATACATAATACTTACCATTTAACCATTTGTCAGTGTACAGTTCAGTGGCATTAAGCACATTCGCACTGTTGTGAACCTTCAGCACCATCCATCACTAGAACTTTTCCATCTTCCCAAACTGAAACTCTGTACCCGTTCAACAATAACACCCCAGCCCTCCTTCCCCCAACTCCCAGCAACCACCATTCTACTTTCTGTCCCTATGGATTTGACAACTCTAGGTCCCTCATATGAGAGAAATCATACAATATTTTATCCTTTTGTGACTGGCTCATTTCACGTAGCGTAATGTCTTCAAGGTTCATTCATGCTGTAGCATGTGTCAAAACTCCCTTCCTTTTTAAGGCTGAATAATAGTCCATTGTATAGACAGACCACATTTTTTTAATCCATTCGTCTTTCGATGAACATTCGGGTTGTTTCCACCCTTTGGCTACTGTGAATAATGCTGCCATGGGATGTACAAATATCTGTTCCAGTCTCTGCTTTCACTTCTTTGGGGTACACACCATAAGGACCATATGGTTGCTGGGCCATATGGTAATTTGTGTTTGATTTTGAGGGTCTGCCTTGCTGCTTTCCACACTGGCTGCAATGTGTTACACTCCCGTCCTCTCCAACACTTGTTATTTCCTCTGTGTGTGTGTGTGTGTGCGCGCGCGCGCACGTGGGCGTGTGCGTGTTTGTGCGTGTGTGCGCCGGTGCAATGTGTTACACTCCCGTCCTCTCCAACACTTGTTATTTCCTCTGTGTGTGTGTGTGTGCGCGCGTGCGCGTGGGCGTGTGCGTGTTTGTGCGTGTGTGCGCCGTGTGCGCGTGTGCGTGCGTGTGTGTGCGTTTGTGCGTGCGTTTGTGTGTGCGCGTGTGTGTCCGTGTGTGCGCGTGTGCACGCGTGCGTGCGTGTGCGCGTGTGTGTGTTTGTGCGTGCGTTTGTGTGCGCGTGTGTGCACGCGTGCGTGCGTGTGTGTGCGTGCGTGTGTGTGTGCGTGTGTGCGTGCGTGCGCGCGTTTGTGCATGTGCGTGTGTGCTTGTGTGTGCGCGTGTGTGTCCGTGTGTGCGCGTGTGCACGCGTGCGTGCGTGTGCGCGTGTTTGTGCGTGCGTTTGTGTGCGCGTGTGTGCGCGCGTGCGTGCGTGTGTGCGTGCGTGCGCGCGTGTGTGCGTGTGCGTATGTGCGTGTGTGCGCATGTGTGTGTGTGTTTATGACAACCATAGTTACGGGTGTGAAGTGGTATCTCTTTCTGGACTTGCTTTGCTTTTCCCTAACGACCAGCGATGCTGAGCATCCGTTCATGCGCTTATTGGCCATTCGTGTATCTTCTTTGGAGAAATGTCTGCTCAAGCCCTCCGTCCGCTTTTGGGCCACGTTACTTGGTTTGGTTTTGTTGTGGAGTTGTAGGAATTCTTCCTACTTTCTGGATGTCGGTCCCCCAACAGGTACATGATTTGCAAACATTCTCTCCCATTCTGCAGGTTGTCTTTCCCCTCTGTGGACAGTGTCCTTCGATGCACAGAGGTTTTGGATGAAGTCTGACTCATCTGTATTTTCTCTTGTTGCCCATGCTTTCAGTGTCACATCAACACCTCTTTCTTAAATGATCTGTTTTCTCCCTCCCACATGAAATCAAACAGGTATGCACAGAGCCAGGTGGTGTTTCAAAATCCAGATGTGTACCCCTCCAGCAGCAGCGCCTCGACCCCCGTCCTGCTGATGGGCCAGGCAGTGCTCCACCCCAGCTTCCCTGCCTCCCACCCATCGCCCCTGCAGCCCACCCAGGCCCCGCAGCAGCCGCCACAGCGCTACCTGCAGGTGGGCACCAGGGCCCAGTGGGTCTGGGGAGATGGGGCCAAGCTCCACGCCCCAAATCTGAAAGGCCTTTTCCTGCCTTGCCTTCAAGGTTGCTCTGTCCCCGGTACAGAAGTAAGCCCCAGAGAGATTCGTATATGATTGTTTTTAATGTTTAAGGTTCTTAAAGTCTATGTATATGTAGTATGAGAAATTAAGAATCATCTATTATGCCTCATATGGTTATGTGCTAAAAAGGTTCATTTTTAAAAAATAATTCTTGTCAAGATTTTGCACCTTGATATGTCCATATTTTTTAGAGCGAGAGTCAGACTGTGTTTGTTGGACTTTTTAGTGTGTTTATAGATAAAGTCTTACACGGATATAAAATTAAATCACACTTAGTTAACAATCTATTAAACTGCCTTAATAAATACAATAATGTTTGAAAATGGGGCTTGCCAGGAACTTTTGCAGCACATTTACATGTGGTCACCGCTCAGAGGGCAAAACTTACTTGAGGCAAGTGCCAGATACACTGGAAGGAGAACGGGCAGGAGCCCCGTGTCTGCTGAGGCCCTCCAGGGCTCCAACCGCCCTCCCCCATATGCCCGGGGCGTCCCTCCCAGCTCTGTCCTATGGGGCTTCCTGCAGCCTTCAGCCCCACCCACCCTGCTTGGCACCTTCACAGCCATAGGACAGTACATGGTGGCTGAGACCTCTTGAGGACTGTGGGGTAGACATGCAGAGTCGTCCTTGAAGGTCTGGACTGTAATTTAATTCCAGAACCGCTAAACTACTTGTGGTATGATTTTCAAATCTCACCCTACCGCACACACAGTGGGAGTCCACTCAGACTTTGGCTCGGCAGATCCCGTCAGTTCTCAGGACACAGAGGTGATTTTGGATGGGAAACGATGCTGCAAGAAGGCAGAGATGGTGTTGGGGTGAGAGGCCTCCCATGTGTTTTGTCAGCAGTAGCAATAATCACGTGTGCAGGACGTGTTGTTGCAGGATTCAGGCTAAGGTACAGAGAGCTCTTTGTCTGCTGGCTGGCCTGAGGGCCCTCAGAGTGCTGGGGGGAGAGGGATTAGCCCAGGGTGAGCTCAGCACAGAGTGGAGCACCTGGCTGAGAAGCCCTCGTGGAGGAAGAGACTGGAGGAGGAGGAAGAGGGTTTGGGAGGCACCTGCTGTGGAGTCTGACGATCAGGAAATGCCTGACTTGTGTGTGAAGGAGTGAAAGAAGATAAAGGGACAGTGTCCCAGCAGGACAGCCCAAGCCAACATGCAGGGACACGTGTACCTGGGCAGCCTCACAGGCAGGGGTACTGGCTACTTGCAGGGGGAGATTTCACAGAAGGGAGAAGTGGGAGATGAGACTGAAGCTTCCAAAGTCAGGCTTTGGCCAGTTGAAGGTTCTGAAATTCAAATCGGGATGTTTCCTAGGAGGAGCTGGCAAATGGCAGTATTTGCAAGTAGCCATGGGAGCAGAGACCAGCAGTGGAAAGCACGCAGACTGGATGTGTGTTTGGATTTTGCCTTGTCGATTATCCACCTGAGGCTTTGGGTTCCATAATCCAAAAACATACAAACTATGTGTAGATCATATGCATGTGTTTAAGAAACCATTCCCTGCAGCCTCAGCCCCTGGCCCCAGGAGGATGGGCGGGAGCCCCATGTCTGCTAAGGCCCTCCAGGGCTCCAGCCACCCTCCCCCATATGCCCGGGGCGTCCCTCCTAGCCCCAGCCCAGCTCTGTCCCATTGGGCCAGAAGGAATCCCCCAACCGCCCCGTGTTGGCAGAGAGCTTGGCTTCAGAATTCATGCCCACCAGGTAAACCCTAAGGTTCCTTCCTTCCCCATCCACAGCCCCAACATGCTGCAGAGCCACCTCTCCCCAGATAACCCCCCAACCATCCTCTTATGGGTCCTGTAGTCTGACAGTATCTGCAGCACCATCCCCCTCCCCCTCTTTGGCCCTAATGAATCACAGAGCCACCTCTGGAGCCCTTTTTCTTTTCTTTCCAGGTGCAGGTGCCAACCTCTTTGCACAGCGAGCAGCAGGACGCACTACTCTCCACCTATTCACAACCGCCAGGGACCCTAAGTTATCCCCCGCTGCCCCCAGTGCAGCCCCAGCCCCCACGGCCACCCCGAAGGGTCAGCAGTCTGTCTGAGTCATCAGGCCTCCAGCAGCCACCCCGGTAGTGCCCTGGTGCAGAAGATGGGACACAATCAGCTTTAACCATTGGACAAGGGTGGGTGGCCACGGGAGATGGGGGGAGGAGTTTGAGCAAAAGCCTTGGCTTTGTGCACACTGCATACATTTCAGAACGCCTGGATGGTAACCATCTCCAGAGTGCAGGGGCTGGTACAGTGAGAAATGATCAGGAATCCTGGCTGGGTTTCCCTTGTCTCCGAGGTTCTCGGGCACACTCTACAGCCATACTGCACAGGAACCGAGTGTCCCGTGTAGGTGTCCTTACTCAGTTTACCTGTGGAGATGGTGCATCTTGCTGCATCCCCTGAGACTGCACTGGTTACTCTAGCTGACCATGGCCCGGCCACATGCGCTAGCTGGCCTTCACTCTCTTGATCCTCTTTCCTTTGCTTTCCAGAAGGACTGGGTCAGAGATCTGTTGGAGAGAGAGAATAAAGAGATTATTTTTCATTATTTTTAAATGGTTGTTTTTGTTTTAATTTGCACAGCTGCACAGAGGAAATAACTTAGGCACTTTCTGTTCTTAAAAATAATAAGGTCTCATGACTTGGTTTGGAGACCACACTAACAAAAACAGCCCACCAATCAGATAGCGAGGCTGGTGGTTATTAACCAAGCTGCAAGTCTGCACCCTCTGGCCTAAACCTTAGTGGAATGAGGCTCTTCACCCCATGCTGTGCTGGTGGTGATTTTTTTTCCCCCTAAATATAACACTGGACTATTTCCTGTTTACTTTGTTGATTGCAACTACAAAGGTGGACTTAAAGCAAAGCACAATCATGTGGCTGATATTCCAGAATTCTATTGAGAACTCTAAGACTATGAGGGGAAAGGTTTCACAGCCAGGCAGGCCAGGGGGGCTCCAGTCCCCAAGGAAATACCCCCACGCGCTGGCCCTTTGAGTGAGAATGCTGCATCTTTCTACATATCTTTCATGATAATACTGAGGGTTGGATTTTCCTTTTCAAAATGCACTTTGCTTTTTTTGTATGTTTTGTTATGTTGAAATGTTTCTAAAGAAAAGATTTTATGTAATTATAAGACAAAGTGTAGTGAATTGTACAGCTGTTGTAATAATGACCTATTTCTATATAAAATAAAATTGTATGGATTATGTGTAAATTATTTTGTATCTGAGACACCAGTTCCTTTCCCAAATATAAAAGTATAAAAGTTTTCTTGTGTTTTTCTGTGAGTGGACATTTTGTAATAAATTAACAAATTTGTACAATTCCCTCTGTCCCTTCTTATACATCCATGCATACATCTTTTTACCAGTAACATATTTTTCTTTAGCTTTTTTTTTTTGTCCTTTTTTTTTTTGAGACCGGCCGCACCGCGCTCTGCCAGTGAGTGCACAGCCATCCCTATATAGGATCCGAACCCGCAGCGGGAGCGTTGCTGCGCTCCCAGCGCCGCACTCTCCCGAGTGCGCCACAGGCTCGGCCCTTTAGCTTTTTATTGAAATATAATTGATTGTACATATCTGTGGGGTACTCTGTTGAAGTAAACATACTTTTTTTTTTTCTTTTTTGTCTTTTCTCATGTCCGGCAACGGATCGCAACCCTCAGTGTCGCGCCCGTACCAGACTGGGACCAGCAACAGGATCGCACCCCTCAGTGCTGCACCCGCCCCTCGCTCAGCCAGTGAGAGGGAACCGGTCTGTATGTGGGATCCGAACCCTCAGCGGGAGCGCCGCCGTGCTCCCAAGCGGCGCACTGTAGCAGTGCACCACTGGGCCGGCCCAAAGTAAACATACTTTTTAATCTTGAGATGTTTCAAGGATAACACCAAGTTCAAGTGTTTGGATCCCCTTACTGGACAACTGCCAAAATAATAATAATAATAGTAGTAGTAGTAATAATAATAATAATAATGTTATTTTCCATTGAGGTCAAGGATTCAGATCTCTTTACTGGCCAGCTGCCCAAAAAAAACAAAAAAAAAATGTTTCAAGGATAATCGGGACAATCAGAAATATGGAAAAGGTGGAAGCAAGCAGTAAATGTCAGGTATTGGTGATAAAATTTTGAGCTGTAACATGTCCATCGGCCCATCAGTTTCCTGAGCTTTAAAGTTTGTGGCAGAAACACAATGGTTTACTGTAGAAATGACAGGAAAGTAAACAAACAAACAAAAAACAGAACAAAGTTCCTGGAAACATCTCAGCCCTATAGACTTAGGTGACCATAGGTAATCCATGGAGATGACCAAGACATTCACCACCAAAGCCTTCACTCATAGCCCATAATGAAAGTCACCGGGCCTGGAATTCCATGGGCTCTAACTGTCAGCGCTTAGATCCACTGATGTGTCCAGGGTATGTGTGTCTGTGAGGTGCATGCACACATGTGCTACAGCAGCAAGCTCTAGAAGGGTCTGCCCACGACAGACCTCCTCCTCCTCCTGTGAGGCTTCAACGCCCTGACGTGAGGGCGCCTGGTGTCCTGTTATTCAGAACCAGAGATGGCAATGCCTTTCCAAAAGCATCACCCAAGAGTGCCACGATCCTCTCCTTACCTTGTTGCTACAGCTCTGTGCCTCTAAAATGGGGATAGCTCTTCTCAAGTTTTATGTCTAGGATCAGTTTGGGGTGGCATAAGAGGGTGTTATATAAATGCATCCAAAAGGAGTTTTATTTCTCACGCAACTACTCTTTCATGAAAATAAAAGTCGAAATATTTTGCATGCACTAGGAACATTTACTCCTTAAAAGAACCAAAAATGAACCCGCTTTTTAAAGTAAAATCTCTGTGAAACTGGATTAACTATTTTTTAATTTAATGTTTTGTAAATCCAGAGGTTTATAGGTCTGATTTTCCTGTAAGATTTTGTATTTTAATTGTACATGTATTCTAATTGACTTTCAAAATACTTCTAAGTAGAACAAGATTTTTAATAGACACAGCATATTTATTGTCCTAGGATTTTCTAGCTGAAAGCCATTAAAAGAGTAGGCCATGCTACTAATTTATATAACTTTGCTTAAGTCTTACACATGCTCAGAATTTGGGTAAATTTAGAAAACTCTTATAGCGTAATATTTATGTAAGCCCACATACATCATGGGGAGCTATAGTGCTACGGTTAATGTTGGAATCCTGCTGACGTTGCCAGTTGTAAAGCTACATGACTATGCCAGTTGTCGGGCTCTTTTTACCTGCTGGTAATCCTGCCGACCAGGCCAATTGTTGAGCTGGGGCTGGGTCTGGAGCCCACAGACCCCTCAAGCCCATTCACAGACTGAGTCACAAACCCTTCACATGCCAGGCTGGGTCACCAGACCCCTTACACACAGGTCTGTGAGCTAGGTAATCGGCAAACAGGTCCATGGAAGCCACAGGTTGGAAAGGCATGGCTGCATAGAGCGGCGGACACCAGAGGAAGTGAACTCCAGCCAAGGTGGCGGCGACGCACAGGTGCACCAACTCCACCCACACCCAACCTGCCCACAGAGAATGCTGCACCACCCCCAACCTGCCCCTAGGTAAGGGGGCCCGATTAAATTATTCTATTTTCCCAACAGGAACTTATTCCCTAAGCTTTTGACTCATTAAATTTTGCTCATTAAAAGGCTATTTGGGCCGGTTAGGTCGGTTGGTTAGAGCTTAGAGCACAGCATTGTAATACCAAGGTCAAGGGTTCAGATCCCCATACTGGCGCGCGCATGCATGTGCACACACATACGCACTCGCGCACACACACACACACACACACT